TAATTAGTTTAATAATTTTGAGCGATTTGTCAACAATACAATTTCGCTTGGCTTTCCACGACAAAGGCCATAAATCGCTAGAATACTGTTGTTTAGTAATACATTTGACATCCGTAAATAGGCCAATTTCTAACGCTGAATCGAACGGTGGTATTTTTATCCTTATTGCGCCATTAGGCATTACAAATACACTATGAAACGTACTGCGAGCGATTTGTCAACAAATACAATTTCGCTTGATTTTCAATTCAAAGGCCATAAATCGCTAGAGTACTGGTGCTTAGTAACCCATTTGACATCCGTAAGTACAATTTCTTACGCTGAATCGAACGGTGGTATTTTTATCCTTATTGCGCCATTAGGCATTACAAATACAAGGACAAACCTGTGGACAAACGTAGTGCGAGTGATTTGTGATCAACAATCCGTACTGCCAGCGATTTTTCAACAATACAATTTCGCTTCATTTTCAAAGGCCATAAATCGCTAGAATACGGGTGTTTAGTAATACACTTGACATCCGTAAGTACAATTTCTTACGCTGAATCGTATGGAACGGTGTCGCTTTCTTCTCAAAATATAAAGCAGCGCAGCCAAACGTAACTTGCGATTTGCGAAGGTTGCTGTTTCCATGTCGAAATTCCTTGTAAAATTGTTCAATTTTCCCGAATTTTCCTCAAAATGCAGGGTTATTTATGGATAATTTGGGTAAAATTGGCAGGAGCCTTATGGATAATTGGGGGAAGTTAGACAGCTCATTAATATTGTATTTTGTGGCTATCGACGATTGGAGATCCACCACAAATGTGAGCCGAAACCTATACCTCGTACCCAGGGCCTTTGCGCGGTTCAGAGGCTATGGTACGGGAAGCAAAGGCCCTGGTAAACACTGGTCATGTGACTCCAAAAATATTGGACATTTCGTAATAATTTAGTTTTCAATCCGGGGGGAGCGGAGCCGATTGATTTTGTCAAACATGGCAGCGTGAAGGCGCGACGTTTTCGGGTTTTATTATTTTACGATAAATAAAACTTTCCTAGTGAGATCTAAAGTGGGTATATATTAAAACTATGCATTCTACGAGCTTTCTTTCAACAAATGGTGGAATAGCGAACGGTAATACTTATCAAAGATCAAGGATCAAACTGAGAGAAAACTGGTCGAGTGATCTGTCTTTCATTATAAAATAAACTGTCTATTTTGTATCCATGCAGCTGCTTGTGTGCGACGTTTTATAAATAATTAAATAAACATTGTTGATTAATAATGATTATAAGTAATGTTTACGTATTGACCAAAGAATATCACTTGGGATTTTATTGTACTTTCATGGAAGGATACATACTCAGTATTGTGCCTGTAATGCTGTATAGTGAAAGGGACATCTATGGAAACGAAATTCTTCATGTGTAAACATGTAGTTATCAAAGCAGAATATTTTAACAGTGACAGGTTGGTTTCCGTATGTATGTAGTTTAAAATATAGTTGTGAATGAAATTATACACAGCATCTTGAAACCTTTGTGTGTGAGTTAATTTCATATTTAAAGTTGGGATGTTTATTTCTCATTGTCTGGAAGAAGGGGGTAAAAGGCGGGGGTACCAATCATGAGAAATAATATCCAATGATCTTGAAGTCCTGAAGGACATGTATAAAGTAACAGATTTATTAGGAATCTGGTATATAAATGTAAGCAAAAACCAGACTTAGGAGTCTAAAGGCAAATAACAGTCTGTACTGGGTGTGTGTTCACCTATTTGTTTACATTTGCAGTTACATTAGTTCATGATTTATGAAATTTGATAATTTTAGTCCTGGCAACAAGTCACTGATAATTTTAGGGTAAATATTTTTCTGAAATACTTCATTTGTCAGTTGTGTCTTATAGAATATAATAAATATCTTGGAAAAAAGGTGTAATTGTACCCTGTCTAATAGCTTTGGTTCAATGCAATTGGCAACATCAGCAATTGGGCTGTCTTAGAATTCATGAAAGACCTTTGCTACAACCCCAAGAAAACATGCCTTGTATCAGGAGATTAAATGCTCTGTTTCAACCAGATTCACCACACAATTGTTATTGTTACCATTGCGCACCAAGATTGACATATCATACTGTGTTTTCAAATATCTTTGGTTCATAATTTCCATGATGATGGTCAATTATTCCACTTGCTGAGAATACTATAATTACTTCTTTCGCCCATGGAGGTAGGGCTTAACAGAGAGACATAGAGGCTTAATAAATATGGTTACACTGAATTTTATCAGTAAGTAAATTTCATTTTTTACATCGCGAAACAAAAGATCACCATATTATGCATGTCACTTTCACTTGGCACAGAGTGCATGAACACACCAAATTCAAACATTCACTGGCTGTTTCTAGATGAAATAATCAACAGATTTTTGTGCAAACAATATAATTCATGAGGGGGGAAAATGCATACTTATATGTGTGCACATAGTTTCAACACCAGCTAGCAGGGTTGAAACCAACTTTCCCAGTTATGATTGGAGCTGATGAGAACATGACCTTATAGTTTTGAACACAAAATGGAATGGGACTTCATCTAGGTGGCAATATATTGGCATTCACCCACACCATGGCAATATCGCACAATATACAAGAATGCACCCATGCAGGTTCTGCCTTCTCACCAGCACAATTGATCAAGTCATACACATTCATTGCTGCCAATCTCTTTATTATTTATGTCTCATTACAATTGGTATGTACAATATATTTTCATTATCAGCAGTATCATTACAACTTGTGCATCACCAGTATCATCACAACTTGTATTTCACTAGCATCATCATCATTATTCTCACCATTCTACTTTTATTTATAGTCAATCACAATGAATCAAAAAATTTCCTATCACACCACTCATATTACTTAATTGCCGAAGGTTAAGGCCATTTCACAGCACTCCAGGATCTGAATACCTGCAACCACCTTTTCGATCTAACACTAAAACAGAAACAAACAACCATTGTCTTACTGGAATATCATTGCTATAAAATGACTGTCATTTGAAGCCACATTCTGCTGTATTAGTGACAACACAACTGCTCCACAACTAAGGTAAATAGTAGGGATGTAGTAAGTTAATACTGATTACTGGTAATTGTCTTTTTACATTTTGCTCGCAACCAAAGTCCAATTATATGGAGCAAGTATAGAATATCAAGCCACTTTTTATTGTTCACTTAACCTTACAGTACCCTTGACAAGTAAAATTGTCTGGTGTTAGACAGAGAAAAATAACAAAGCATGCTGTATTTGTCTCCTTTGGATGGGCAAAATACTAAAATTGGGGGCTATGGAGATTTTATGGCAAGAGGTGGGGGAACATTTTCTCCAGTAGAATGTATGTTGGCCATTGGAATTTTTTAAATTTAAAAAATTAATGTAATCTAATTTTCTTGCATACATAAAGTTAGGTGCTGGGTAAGGTTGCCACTTTCACACTTTTCTATTATCATCGTACTATTCTGTTAAGTTTTTAATGGATGAGTCAGAGACCAATGGTTGGAATGAGGGCAGTTAATTTGTAATTCTTGCATGTATTCATTTATGAACTTTTGACTACTGTAATAGTCAGCCAGTTAAATAAGTATTTTACTAGGGTACAGTTTAAATATATTTTAGTCTTTAAACGTTATAATTTTGTCTTTTCGAAATAGCTTACATTTTGTTTACGCCGCCATCTTGTCTCTCTCCATATCCTACTTTATCCCACAGTATCCCTCAATGTATCTACTGTCCGTGACTAATCCTAAGTGTCCTTATTAATCCTAACTTAAACTGTTCAACATAATATAAATAATAATAATAAAGTATATCGGTTCATCATCCCCATGTTTATATCAGTTTTCATGAATAGTTTCATGATACGTATCTAAATGTATCTTGGATTGGGGGTCTTTTTCCGCTCGCTACGTCTCAGTGTTGGTGCAGTTTCTCCGCTTTTCGCAACCCCGAGATCTTCCGCCACGTCTCCTTCATCTCCTACTGGCCACTGAACATCTTCGACTTCGATATAGTTTGGTTCTATAAATGGTTTGACGTCATCTGGGTGACGGCACAACGAAAACCCGTTTTCTTGATGTTCGACAATGAGTTTGTTTCCTTCGTCATTGATGTCGATGATTTTGAATGGTTCACCGAGGAAAACGGGATCAAACTTCCTCGATTTTTGGTAATTTCTAACACGAATCTTGTCACCAATGTTGAAATTTGATTTCTTCCTGTATTTAGAAGAGTTTATTTTTTCTTCGTTATCAGTTTTCTTTTGTTTGTCTGCTTCCCGAGCTCTTCTTACGTCTTCTTCGGTTGCGTATGTTCTTGGAAAGTCGTAGCGCTGTCCATCTCGGAACATCATGGCTGCTGGAGGGATACCCGTTGCTTGGTGAGGTGTATGTCTATAGTTGTTTAGTGTTATCTCCAATGTTTCTTTTTCAGGAGCCCTGGTTTGATATGCAATTTTCATGGCCTTTCCCAAAGGACGCATAAACGTTTCAACTGGATTGGAGGATGGGTGAAGTGGTGGAGCCTTCTGTAATTTGATGGACTTGCTCGTTGCGAAGTCGTGCATCTGAGCGCTGTTGAAGGGAGGCCCGTTATCGGAAATTTGGACCTCGGGGTTTCCGTACGTTGCATAAATTTCGCTGAGAGCTGGTAAAACTTTGTCTGCCTTTGTCGATATAACCAGTTTCGCTGCTGGAAATCGTGATGCTAAGTCTTGTACGACGACCACGTGTTTAGATGTTGGCATCGGGCCAAATAGGTCGACTGATACAGTATCCCAGCATTTCTCGGGTGGTTTCATAACCCGGTGTACGTGGTATGATGGGTTCTTTTGTCTTTTTGTCGATGAACATACTGGAAAGGTTGCATGATTTGACGAATTCTTCTATTTTCTTACTCATATTGTGGAAGAAAAAATGATATCTGAGTCGTCGTTCAAGTCCACTTTGGCCAGGATGAGTTCCTCTGTGTGCCAGTCGGATGGCTGTATCTTGGAGGTTACTTGGAAGTACGATCTTTTCGCCTTTCAGAATAATACCATTTGCGGTCATCGTAATCTCTGGAAGTACTTTCTGGAAACGTTGGATTTCTTTCGACTCTGTTTTTTCGATCCAGGTTAACCCCTGGTTGACGAGTGTTGCAATCTTTTTGAGGGTTGGATCGTTCTGGGTAGCTTGTGCGATAGTTCCAATACCCATGCAGTCTATGATCGGGGTGGTGTGAAGCATATA